CTATTGTGTGTGTGTGTGTGTAAATATATGTATGTGTGTGTGTGTGTGTGTATTTCTGTTGCTCCTCATGAGCGCCCTGAATTGGGTTGGAATATTACATTAATTAGTTTTGGTGATTTCTCAAATTTGATTATGTTCTTTACAAACACATAATGATAATAATAATATCAATAATAATGCATTGGTTTTAAACAGTGCTTTTTGAACACAAAAAGTCACTTCACAAAGTCAAATATAAAACGTAAAAAAAGTCACTTTGCATTATTCATTTATTCCATGTGCCGTGGAGATAAACTACTACTGTAGCTACAGCTGCCCTGGGGCAGACTAACAGCAGCGAGGCAACAGTATATGTCAGCTGCCCCTCCGACCACCACCACCCATTCCCACACACACACACACACCAGACTCATTCTAGGCAAGTGTCTTGCCTAAGGACACAAGGGCACTTTACAGCCACAGCCAGCTCATGGCTGCAATCACCTGTTTGTGTTTGCAGCTGAGAATTTTCAAATTTGTAAAAAAAAAAATACACTCCTCCCTCTGGTGGCAGCTTAAGGATATGACAGGCTGATAGCATTCTTCACTCTTCATACTTGTTTCACCATATATTTTCACTGAAGATACAGCCAGAGTCCTGGATCTACAGACTCAGTCCTGGATCAACAGACTCAGTCCTGGATCAACAGACTCAGTCCTGGATCAACAGACTCAGTCCTGGATCAACAGACTCAGTCCTGGATCTACAGACTCTACAGTCCTGGATCTACAGACTACAGTCCTCGATCTACAGCCCAAAAAAAATGGTGGTCGTAGTGATTGGTGCAGCACTCGGGGCAGTCACCCCCAGACTGGAGGAGTGGTTACAGCAGATCCCTGGAACAACCTCGGAAATCATGGTCCAGAAATGTGTAGCAGAACAGAACCCTCAAGCTCCATAGACCCGAGGTTAGAGAGGGATGAACGACACACACACACACACACGCACACACACACACACACACACACACATACACACACACTTGTATACTATTACTTAAGTAATGGAATGATTTAACAACTTTTATTGACCTTTATTTAACAGAAAAGTCCGAGTGAGATTTCAGAATTTCACGTTTTCTACACTAGGACTAGTACCAAAGGACACTCCTCTGGAGTGCCCCTGCAGAACTGGAGCATGGACATAAAGTTACACAGAGTGACTTTAAAACCCATTGAACAGTGAGCAAATATAAAACATAAAACATATTTCAAACTGACTTTCCCTTTTGTTTGTGTGTGATGTCATCATGATCCACAAAGTAGAGTTTCTGTACACCTGCTTTCAGGTAACTCCCCAAAGGATTCGAGAATTTAACACATGATCCTGAAGGATTCACTTTTGAGTCCTGACATATATATTTTAACAATACATACTTTAATTAATTCTATAGTATTACAATAATGCAGCGCTGTTCAGGACACTCAAAGACACTTCACGCGTCATTGTGGTGATAAACTATTACTGTTAATTGTTTATTTGGTTGGGACAGTTGTGAGATTTCATAACACTTTGAAGCAACTTTTGTTAAAGTTAAACTCATCATTCTATCAATGTGCAGAAGCCAGTACTTTTCCCTTGTTTTGTCTATCTGAAGGCCAAGCTACAAGCACACCGTGGAAGCTGCTGATTGGAGGTCTCCATGCCTCCGCTCTGTATAATACACTTTCATTCTATTGTTTCTGTGCTCGTGTGCTTTGATCGTGCTGTCTCTACCATCGACAATAAAACATGTCTTCTGTCTGAATTTAAGACGCGATCCCAGACTATGTCATCTTCTTCAGGTGGTGGAAGGATGCGGGCCTTGTCTGTAACATCTAGAGAACAGAAGACTTTTTTTTTTTTACACAAAAAGTGTTTTTTTTTTAAGCCAAAACTGAGAAACCTCAAGAGAAACCATGCATCTGGACCAGCACATGGACAATCTGCACAGCCCCTGATTCCAGTCAGGCTGTGAGCTGCTGAGACATGGACAACACCAGCGTCCTCTTTTGCATGGACATAATTTGGAACAATTGGATTTCTGAATTTGGACATAATTTGGACTGAATTGGATTGCTGAATCTGGACACTGAAGCTGAAACGTGTGATTGAAAGACACGTCACAGAAGAATTCATGGCTCGACACAAATGCAGCCTGAAGAAACCAACACGGAGAGGTGGGAGAGACTGTTTTCAAAGCAATATCTGGAATCACCATCGACTGATGAAGTTTGGTATTTTACTGAAGATTGTTGACAAGTTTTATGAAAGATCTGAAAATGTTTTATGAGTTTTCTGAGTTTTTGAAGTATTCCGAGTTCTGAGTTTTTTGAGGTACCGAGTGAAGTACCGAGTTTATGAGTTTTTGAAGTATTGAGTTATGATGTTATGTTGCTGTTTATCGATCCTGATGGTCACACGTGAATGTATGACCAGAGGGGGGAATGTGAGATTTCATAACACTTTGAAGCAACTTTTGTTAAAGTTAAACTCATCAATCTATCAATGTGCAGAAGCCAGTACTTTTCCCTTGTTTTGTCTATCTGAAGGCCAAGCTACAAGCACACCGTGGAAGCTGCTGATTGGAGGTCTCCATGCCTCCGCTCTGTATAATACACTTGCATTCTGTTGTATCTGTGATCGTGTGCTTTGTTCGTGCTGTCTCTACCATCGACAATAAAACATGTCTTCTGTCTGAATTTAAGACGCGATCCCAGACTATGTCATCTTCTTCACAGTACTGTACATGTTAATGAACACATCCCTCCGGATTGTAGCCATGGGTTAATTTGCACCTGTTGTCCCACATCCACACTCACAAACACACACTCATTCATTCACCCTGTTGCACATGTTTTTAGTGGTAGGGAAAACCAGAGTGCCTGGAAGAAACCTACGCAGACACGGGGAGAAGATGCAAACTCCACTCAGAAAGGCTCTGTTCCGACTGTGATTTCGAATCCTGAACCTTCTTGCTGAGAAGCGAGAGTGCTATCCACTGTTGCCACAGCTGCCCCAGGGGAAGGGACACAGACAGAAGCAAGACAGAAACAAGGCAATCAGTATGTGCCATCAGCTCCTCCAACCATCACCAACCTTTCACACACACCAGAGTCACTCTAGCGCAGGGGTCTCCAGCCTGTAGCTCGGGAACCACCAGTAGCTCTCCACTCTCTTCCAGGTAGCTCGCCAAACGATTTAAAATGAACAAATCAAATAATATACTTAATATTTCAGAGTGTATTATTCATTGTGATTATTTATAATTGTGAATTCACTTACTTTGAGCACGCACTAGTAACAAATACACAATGATAAATAATGACCCAATATTAGGCTCTTTCACACCAATATATATCCCCACATTTTTCCCAGGGCAGCTTAAAGGAATAAGCCACCATTTTTACATACTGACATATGGGCTTACCTTACCTTAGACTAGTTGATATGTACCTGTCTGGTCTTTGGCCAGACAGGTACATGTCATGCAAACGGAGCACAAACGCAGCCTCTTCCACAGGCTGTATAGTTCCAAATCAGCTCCCGTTAGAAGCTACCAAACTCTTCCACGTTTTCCCTATTTAAATACAGTTACGTGACGTGTTACACTACAAAGTATAGTAACACAGAAATGTAACATGTCGATTTTCTCAGCAGATAAAAAGGGGTACTATATTGTGAGGCGCAATAATACGAGGAGCACTACGTCCGCGCACTAACTCCTAAAGACTTCTCTCCCGCTCACTTCCGTCAATAATAATAATGCATCGGTTTTATATAGCGCTTTTCTGGACACTCAAAGACGCTTCACATGTGTCATTATTCATTCACTCCAAACACGGTGGTGATAAACTACTACTGTAGCCACAACTGCCCTGGGGCACACTGACAGAAGCGAGGCAACCAGTATGTGCCATCGGCCCCTCTGACCACCACCAACCATTCACACACACACACCAGACTCATTCTAGGCAATGGGGGTGAAGTGTCTTGCCTAAGGACACAACGGCAGTTTGGCACTTTACAGCCGCAGCCGCCCCACTGTGGCTGGTGTTCCCAGAGGTTAAGTGTCTTGCCAAGGACACAACGACAGTAGTCAGTGGGAGTCGATGGTGAAAGTCTTGAGCGGGGTTTGAACCCACGACCTTCTGGCTCAAAGGCCAACGCTCTACCAACTGAGCTACTGCCGCCCTAAGCAAATAGAAGCAGCGTGACTTGTAGTACGTACAGGAGCGGGAGAGAAGTCTTTAGGAGTTAGTGCGCGGACGTAGTGCTCCTTTATCGTCCCTGGAATGTAGCTCTCTGGGTGAAAAAGGTTGCAGACTCCTGCTCTAGAGAATGTGGGTGAATTGTCTTACCTATGGACTCAGCAACAGATTATCAGTGTTACAGTCGGGGCAGCCGCACTGTGGCACTATGGTTCCCGAGGTCTCGCATCACAGTACTGAACATGACCTGCCCTGCACATCTTCAGAGGTCTGACGGGATCTGGCTTTCAAATGCGAGTTGTGGCCATAATAATCAGATTTTTTTTTTTTTCAGAATCAGAATAATTTTTATTGCCACGTAAGTAACAGGAAGTCACAGACTTGGAAATTGCAGTCAGAGAGATAATAAAAAAGAATAAAAAACACTTCTAAGGAATAAATTTAAATTTAAAATAGAGTTACAGTTACTATTTACAATAAGGATGATATACAGTTGTATTTCTGTTTCATAAAAGTAGCTCTCCAAACAAAAAAGGTTAGAGACCCCTGGTCTACCGAGTGATCTGAAGTGACTCCCGTGTTACAGGTGTCCCCCCCTCCCTCACACACTGATACGCTCTCTCTCTCTCTTCACTCCACACGGGCCTCACCCCCTCCTCCTCCTCCTCTCTCCCTCCCTCTCTCCCTCCCTCTCTCCGTGACGTAGACGCCGCCTGGGCAGAGCTGCAGCTTGCGGACGACTCTCTCTCGCGCTCGGGGGAGAGAGAAAAATGCTGCTCTCCGTTCAGCCAAGGACAGCGATCAACCCCTACAGCGACTTCCACAGCAGAACCAGCAAAAAGGTGAGCCGCCCCCCTCCTCCCCCCAAAAACTTCACCCCCCCCCTCTCTCATCTACACACACACACGCACACACGCACGCACAGACCCATCCACACACACCGGCTTGTGACAGTGCGCTCTGCAGTGTGTCCTTGAAGAAAAAGCGAAAAGTTGAGGAGTTGTGTTGCTTTTTTTTCCAGTTTACACACAGGGGCCCTATGTGTTGTGTGGCTCCTGTGTGTTGTGTGGCCCCTATACGTGCACCGCGCTAGTTCTGCATGAGCCAACGCCAAGACTCGTTCTCATGTTTTCATTTATGTTTCTTGCTGGGAGCAGACAGAGCTGAGACGGGACAGGCTGATGTTGGAGGTGGGGGTAGGGTGTGTGTGTGTGTGTGTGTGTGTGTGTGTGTGTGCGTGTGCGTGTGCGTGTGTGTATGTGTTTGTGTGTATGGATACGGGACATAACAGCGTGCTTTCCAGCCTCTAACTAAAGAAAGCACTCCAAAAGCATGCAAAATATTTCAAATACAGCGAGGACTCTTTTTTTTTTCCTTCACTGCAGCAGAAGTTGGCAAAGTTTTTACCCTTCTCTTCGTATTCCAAGCGGATAACGCCCCACCCCTCAAAAACCCACCACACTGTAGATCAACTTCGCTTTTTGTCGTAATTGAGAACGATTCAGGCTGGTTTATGTATATAATAGATCTATCTGCGAAGGTGAATACATTTCGGATGCACTTAGAATATTGTTATAAGCTTAAAACAGACATTGCCTTTTGCATCTGAGCGCGTAAATAACATCATTCTTGCCAAGTGGAGAAAGTCGTCTATATGTGGAAACTATGTCCAAGCGCATGCAACAAGAATACATCTACAATTAGGGGCCAAAACCAGGAATTTCAAGCAGTTTAGAATCTTCCAAGACTGCTTTTTTTTTTTTTTTTTTTTTTTTTTTTTTTGCAGTGCAGAGCCGCTGGGATGAGAGACATTCCTAGAAGTGAAAAATGTGAGCCTGCGCGCGCTAAAGTGCTGCTCCAACACCATTCGTTGAGATGCAGTGGCTCCCAACCTTTTTTTATATCAATTCAATGTGTTTGTGTAGAGCCCTATCTATATCAGAGCAGCTGTCGTGTCGGAGTCGTCTTCCTTAACAACAGATCATAGAATCAAACAGTTAGAACCGCACAGGAAATACAATAATAACAAAGACATACTGTAGGAGCCATTGGTCCATAGGGAGCGGGATGACCACTGTCCATAAATGTTAATGGATGTTATTAAATGTCCTGGGTCATTTGTGTCCTTAAACCCTCCTCCATCAGCAAGGAACCACTCAAAATATTTATATAGTGGTAAAAAAGTGAGAAACCTCGGGGGCGACTCAAATAGAGAGAGGGATTGGTGTCAATGGACGGACAGAATGTAGGTCCAGGATCCTGCAGGACTGAGGCTGTAGATCCAGGACTGAGGCTGTAGATCCAGGACTGAGGCTGTAGATCCAGGACTGAGGCTGTAGATCCAGGACTGAGGCTGTAGATCCAGGACTGAGGCTGTAGATCCAGGACTGAGGCTACGTAGATCCAGGACTGAGGCTACGTAGATCCAGGACTGAGGCTGTAGATCCAGGACTTTAAGGCTGTACTGTATCAACCCGAAACGTAGTCGCTTCTGAAGAAATAAATGTAGATCCAGTACCTTGTATGACATGCAGCCGATTCTAAATAACACACTGGAGGCACATAGCATAACGCGTTTTGCGGATTATATTGTAACAGCGACGGACAATCGTTACAGCAGATGTGATTCAAGCCTATGAAAATGTGCGAAATAAAGTCTTCGATCAAAAACTCCTGGCACGACACCCACAGCCCACGAACCAATAGGTTTATGTCTCTTACAAATACTTTGCACAATGACAGCGTAACGAGCCGTGGAGCTGTGTTTGGGTGAGTGAAGCTCTCACCGTCAGAGTTTAGGCCGTTGCACTTTCCTTTACAAAGACCTGGATCAAAACCAGACCGCAACCAGTTGTCCTTGTAAAAAAATATGTGTGAAAATGTTGCTACTCCTGCATACGGATGATTTCCCCACTGTCGTCCATTATAATGTGATTCCCTCTGGTCACTACTTTCTGGTCTCTCTCTGTCCCTCTGTTCTCTTTGTTCTCTCTTTCTCTCTCTCAGGTCTCTCTCTGGTCTCTCTCTCTAGTGTCTTTCTGTTCTTTCTCTGTTCTATCTTTGATCTCCCTATTGTCTCTCTGGTGACTGGTCTCTCTCTCTGATATGTCTCTAATCTCTCTTTCTATCTCTCTGATATATCTCTGTTCTCTCTCTCTCTGGTCCCTCTTTGGTCTCTCTCTGTTCTCTACCTGACCTCTCGCTCTCTCTCTCTGATATCTCTCTGGTCTATATTTCTGCTTTCTCTGGTCTCTCTCTCTGATCTCTCTCTGGTCTCTCTCTGGTCTCTCTCAGGTCTCTCTCTGGTCTCTCTGGTTTCTCTCTCTCTAATGTTCTTTTGCTGTTCTCCCTTTGATCTCTCTGATGTCTCTCTGGAGTCTCAATGGTCTTTGTCTGGTCTCTCTTGCTCTCTCTGATATCTCTCTGGTCTCTCTCTCTGTTCTCTCTTTGATCTCTCTGATGTCTCTCTGGTCTCTCTTGCTCTCTCTTATATCTCCCTGGTCTCTCTCTCTGTTCTCTCTTTGATCTCTCTGATGTCTCTCTGGTCTCTCTTGCTCTCTCTTATATCTCCCTGGTCTCTGGTCTCTCTCGCTCTCTCTCTCTCTGGTGTCTCTCTCTCTCTTTCTCTCTGTTCTCTCTCTGGTTCCTGGGTGCACTCTGCAATGACTTTAGAAGAGTTATTTTGAAAGTGAGACGTTTGTTTGACCTTTTTATCCTGTACATGTCTTCCCTGCGGTGAAAAGCCAACGCAGGGCCAAACAACACGCCTACCTTGTGCATGATTGGCGTTGAAAGCCAATAGTGACAGATTGTCTTTCCGCGGCTCAAGTCCAGACTCTCTGCTCTCACGATCGGTTTGAAGCTGCGTTCAAATATTTCTCCTCTTAAATCCTGCTGGAGGAAGTGTGTGTGTGGAGAGGGAAGTCTGTGAGCGTCTCTGCTTAGAATGCTGCCGCTGTAACCCGGCAACGGATAAAGCGGAGATAAGGCGTGTTGGCTACTTCAGCTAACACGGTGGCAGAGTTGTTAGCACTCTCTCTTCTCAGCTAGGACACTCTCGTTTCTCGGATTTGAACATCGGTCGAAACAGGGCCTTTTTGTGTGGAGTTTCCATGTTCTCCCTATGTCTGTGTAGGTTTCCTCCAGGTGCTCCGGTTTCCCGTACCACTAAAAATGTATACAATGGGCAAAACTCCCCCAGCTCTGGTTCTGCACTGTTATGTATTCTCTTGTTTTGTTTAGCACTTTGAGTTGCCCTGTGTATGAACTGTGCCATGCAAATAAACGTGCCTAAATTCTTCTCCAGCAGTAACTGTAGTGAGTAACTGTAGTGAGTAACTGTAGTGAGTGTGTGTGGCGTGTGGCCTGCCGGAGGACTCTTGTGTAAAATGTCAGAGATGGAATGTGTTGCCTCATCTTTCCACTTTGGCGTCGAGGGGAAACCAGGCTGAGAACGGGGGTGAGAGAAGGTCAAGTGCTTTCGAGGAACCAAACAGGAACCAGCTCTGTCCTGAAGCTGAAGACCTGGACTGTGCACGGACGAATGATGCTAAACCCGCTAGCTCCAATGAAGCCCAATAGGGAAGTGCTCATAGACGAAGTTGTCATGAGGTGATGTGAATGAGAACCCAAAAAATGCGAGAATGCAAGAATAAGGATTTAGTGAAGATAATAAAATGACTGTCCAAGGAAAAACAAACTCAAAATCAATTGTTTGTTTCATTGCACATTTTTGGATAAACACCAAAGAAATTCCTCAAACTATTTCGAAAACTCATCTCTGTCCATGACATCACAGTCTGAGGATTTGTCAAAGTGAAATGACTTTATAATACTGCGTTTCTCATTTTAGTCGTCAACAATTTAGTGAAAACCTTGGAGACAGCGGTTGTTGTGATCTTGATCTGCACAAAAACATATTGGAGACAAGTTTGTGGCAGAGGTTCCTGTATTAGCAACGAAAGAGTAAAAGCTATGTCTGTTTTGAATAATAATAATTATAATAATAATGTTTTTGTTTTATACAGTGCTTTTTTGGACCCTCGAAGACGCTTCACAGGTCACTTTTCGTTCACTCCATACACAGTAGTGATAAAGTACTACTGTAGCCACAGCTGCCCTGAAACACACAGAGGCGAGGCAACCACCACCACACCAGACTCATTCTAATGTGGGTGAAGTGGATACAATTCGACAGTTCGGCACTTGGACCCTGGGGTTCCCAGAGGTCTCCCATCACAGTATTAACCAGGCTCTGCTCTGACATTTTTGCATAGTGTTTGATCAGAATAAGGAAAATGTGCTTTTTTGTTTGCTTAAAAGTGTGTTGGTGTTTACTTTACCCATTTACTCCAGTAGAAGTACATTTCTCTAGCTTCAAGGCTGCATCCCAATTCACACAAACACCTCCTTCCTTCTCATATACATTTACTTTAGTACATAAACAAAACAACATGTACAGTCCTTAACGAAAATACTACTGCTGCTACTACTACTACTACTATTGCTAATACTGCTACTACTTTCTTACCATTATTTCTACTACTACTATTGCCCCTATGGTTCTACTACTACTCCTACTACAACTACTATACTACCACTTCTGTTGCTGCTACGACTACTACTACTACTGCTATTACTACTACTACTACTACTACTATTAGTACTACTACTGCTGCTTCTACTACTACTCCTATTGCAACTATTTCTGCTACTTTTACTGCTCCTAATGCTGCTGCTGCTACCACTGCTATTAGTACAGCTTCAGCGAATCATAATTCTATTACTCTACATAACAGAGGATTTACCAGTTTTATTTATATCTTTATTGGCGACACATCTG